TTTGCAAATATCTTCTCCCATTCTGTCAGTTGTCTTTTGGTTTTGTTGACTGTTTCTTTTGCTGTGCAAAAGCTTTTTATCTTGATGAAGTCCCAGTAGTTCATTTTTGCCCTTGCTTCCCTTGCCTTTGGTGATGTTTCATATAATGATTTTTAATCATTAACTCATCCATCCAATATCCCTCAGAGCAATGAGATAGAACTTTTTTTTTTTTTTTTTGGTGAGAACTTACTGAAATCTCTTAGCAAAGAACTGTAGCTAGCAGGTGAAGAAATAGGCGACTCAAATGTATCCACATATAGAAGATGCTTCTAGCATCTCTTGTCCAGGTTAGCAGAGCATGCAGCCTTCTCAGTGCACAGGAAAAAGAGAAGCTAAGTTCCAAGATTAGACAACTCCTTTTTCTTGTCCATTTATAAGGCACAACTGGTGAGAGAATTTAAGAAACTGAAAAATCCAGATGTGTTGACTTGAAAAGTTTATACCTTAGCTATGAGAGCTTCTTCCTTAGAACCCCTGAACAGATGGTAATCTAAAACGTGGTGCCAGGGGGTTTGATGTCTCTCAAGCCTCCTCTCTATCAGGAAAACATCACCTCTGACATATTCCTGTCTTTGGTTCTCAGAACATGATATGATCTGAGGAGAGATGGAACTGAGTGCACATTTGGGAAATACATTTTAATGAAGTACATCCAAGTCTCTCACATGATATCTTTGGTCATTCCCAGTGCTGCTCCTGTGTTGGAGAATAGCCAATTAATTTATTTTTATTTGTGAGCAAATGGGATCAATATACCAGTACTTACTCTCATATCTACTGGTAATCTATGATTTAGTGCTGAAACCCAGAAGTTTCTCCCTATACTACTTTAGTTCAGTTGTACAGAAAGCTAGAGAGAGAAACCAGGATATTATTTCCAAGTTTATTAAAGTATCTTATTGAAAATAAATATGGTTAATAACACTGTTGATCAGGCGACTGAGTCCTCTGGTTGTCGGACCTGTGCCAAGTTCCACTGTGAGTGGTCAAGGTGAGGAAGGCAGAACAGAAGTGCTGAGGCCTGGGGCGCCTGAGTATCTCAGTGGGTTAAGCATCCAACTCCTGATTTCGGCTCAGGTCATGATCTCAAGATTGTGAGATCCAGCCCCACATCAGGCTCCATGCTTAGCATGGAGCCTACTTAAGATTCTCTCTCTCCCTCTGCCCCTCCCCTGCAACTCGAGCATACATGCTTGCTCTCTCTCGCTCTCTCTCTCTCTCAAAAAAAAAAAAAAAAAAGAAATTGCTGAGGCCCTCTTAAAGCAGTCCTACATGTTAAGGATGACCCTACTCTCAAAAATGTAAATTTAAAAGCTAAAAGAACAAGGCTTTATTTTTCATATACAAAATAATAACAATACATTTGAAAAGAAATTTTTGTTTTCACCCGATATAGTAGAATACTTGCCTGGTTTTAGTGTCTCTCCCAGCAAGGTACAAGCTTATGCCTATCTAGGAAGAGAGCCTTCTCCAATCATAGAAGCATTCAGGATTGTTTCTCATATTTATTTTCAACTTCTGTGTGGCTTCTAAACTAGATTTCTCTTTTACAGCCCCATTTCCTCCTATTTAATGGTCTTTGCTGAGGTCACAGTCTTGAATTTGTGACCCCATAATTATTTTTGTAACTACAAACTATGTTGTTAATAATACCTGATTAAGATGTCCCTGCTAGCAGTCATCAAAGAGCAAAAATCTTTTTCAATTATATTTACCCCCAGTGAAGTCAAAGGCAGCATGAGTAATTACCAACAAAATCCACAAACCAATATGTACACTGTTTTCTAACTATTATGAATGTGCCTCCTTAGTTTTCTTCTCAGTGTGGTTTGTTCGTGGATACTATTCATGCAGTAGGCCCTCAATGTAACAACGCTGTTTGGTTATAGGACAGAATTTAGGATGAGGCATGTGTACCTTGGAGACTGCCCAAAAGGTTGAGTTACTTATATGCCAGCAAACCCCTTATTAAAATATAGTCTCACCCTGCGAGGTGGCATCTTGGCATGAACTGCATGGATAACGTGACACAGAAGCCACAGCGTATAGTGAATTTGGGTTGATACTTTTTGTTTTGCAGAAAATTGATGAGTTATTTGCTGTAGTAGAATATATTTTATAGCCATAGTTAAACTCCCCATAGATCTATTTAATTGTCTCACATAACTCTTTTACCAGCCCTTTCAAATTTATAAAAACTACAATATCCAAAGGTGGTTGGTATTTGTGGTTGCTGTTTGTTTTCTGTTGGTATCTACCAGACTTGGCTAAAATTCAGGTAACCCAACAGCTTCGCTATTTCCAGCTTGCTGTGGTCAATGCTGTGGAAATTATTGCTGAGATAAATATACCTCTGTGGAGAACATGATGAGCACTGGCTGGATTGCCCTGGGCTTTCATCAGACACTGGCCAGAAAGCAGTATGAGTGTGGGAACACATCACTCAGATTGTTCTCCCATCTTAGCAATAAGGACTGAAGATGCAATTATGAATCATGACTTAGGAGT